GATGGGGTTGCGAATATTCTGAATTGAGGGAACTATGCGTTTTCAAAATCCGGTGCATAGACTATTTTGAAGGAAAAGTTTGGGTTGAATTCAGCTTAAGATTAACCATTGATTTTGGTCATTGCGTGATTCTATTAATGTCTTCCGGAAATATTTGTTGGTGGTGTCATCGATGACGTGGGTTTGATTCTTGCTGAGTATTTTGTCTGGTGTAAACTCGAGAACTTCTTTAACCTTTGCGCGTTACGTGGACAACTTTTCAATATTTAAGTTTTGTGTGAAATTATTATAGTACTTCTCAGATGATGCAGCCGTGACGCCATTTATCATAACTGTTTGTATATTCACGAAGGTTGAAGTTGGCTTTTTGTTTGGTATTAATAACTATTTAGAAAGTTATGGTTTGTACGTCAAGAGAGTGATAGCGATGTTAATTAGGTTTTGATTTGGTAGGCATAAACCATCCATATCATGAGACGAGGTTTAGTGCATTTGATTTATATTAGGTGAAAATTAGAAAACACTATAAAAGTTCTTGCTTTTATTTTCATTTATTTAGTCAGAAAAAGAAAATGAAACAGAATTCATTTTCAGAGTTATATATAAAAGAGTTCGCAACTAATATGTTTCACTTTCAGAAAATTTTAATAAACTCCCTGGTACATGTTAACTGATGAAAAGGTTTTTTAAATTTAGGCGAAAAGATATCACCTATAGAAGTTGATGCTGTCCTTCTTTCACATCCGGACATTGCTCAAGCAGTTGCTTTCGGAGTGCCTGATGCCAAGTATGGTGAAGAGGTATGTCTTTTTCTCATTCATTTATTTTTAGCTTTTACACTCAACAAATTTCACACAGGCTTTTCCTCCAACAAACGATATGGGTCGTATATATGTTGCCACAAAATATTAAGCTATATTATTAACATAATTCATGTTTCTATGCCACATTTTCTTTTTAGGGAAAGATTTGCTCACAATCAATTTTTACAAATATCCTATTGATAATATTAAAATATTATTTTTTTGGTTAATTGATGGAGAGAAAAAGAAATAAGATAGATAAATAATAACATAAAAATTTAAATCTGAATTGTTGAATGAATATTTTTATGATTCTTTATCATACTGTATGTTTTTATACACCGTTCATCAAATAATAAACGAATAAAAAGGATCATGCCCAAACACTGGCCTACACTTTTTATATTATTTATTTATTTATGGCATTGGCATTGGCATGTCAGTTGCACTTCTATTTTTATCATTGGTTGGTAAAGAATGACACTGATGAGTGAGGCCCTACCATCGGAGTAAGATGTACCTGAAAGACCAACACAACCGAGGATTTCCGAGCCATTTAATTTTATCACTTTATGCCCTCAAAGGTCATACTCAAATCATGTATCAACATTCTGTGGCGTACAAGAAAAACCCTTCTATTTGAGAAGATTCATTTTTATTTGAGCATCTTTTGTCAAATGGAACTACCTTCTCATTACTACCTTACGGAAAATTACTTTTCAGTTTTAATTTCACCCTAAAGGTAAAATTGTCCAAATCTAAAAAGTGTTCTGTGTATCAGTGATTGATTAACTTTTGAAAAGGTTCAGCGACTTCTTAACCTTTTGATGTCGTTCTACCCTACCCCAGGAAAACAGTTTGTTTCGTAGTAGCAGCAGCTTCTTTCAATAGTTTGTTTGACCTTCATAGCTTTTCAACATTATGAAGATTTCCTTAAAATTTTAAATATTTCATAATATTCATAATTATTCAAAGTGCTAAAAAAATGGGTAAATGGTCTTTCTTTCTTTATTGTTTTACTTATAGAGTTCAGAAATTTGTGGATTGTTATATCTCAAATTTTGTTCTCTGAAATTTGCGTTTGATGATATATTGTTTGTTACCTTTTTGATAGATATATTGTGCTGTCATCCCAAGAGAAGGATCAAGCGTTGATGAGGCAGAGGTGCTAAGATATAGCAAGAATAATCTTGCATCCTTCAAAGTTCCCAAAAAGGTCTTCATTACTGATTCTTTGCCCAAGACTGCCACCGGAAAGATTTTGCGTCGTCTTGTGGCAGAACACTTTGTTACCCAAATTTGACCAACTCAAGTCCCCACCTATGATCCTTACACAACCCACCTGCCCAATACATAAGAGGAGGGTGTCTCTGCAAATGGCCTTTCATACAGGGTACAATAGATTGTACTTTTCAATTATTCATGTGAATTGTTCACAGTGTAATATTTTCAATGTTTTATAGATATTCAATAATTTATCTCTCTCAATCCATGTTTGTCTACATTTCTAACTTCATGGATGGTGAGATGTAGGAAATACCATCCAGATAATAGCAGTGTAAAAAGCTACAACCAAAACAGGCAAATCACAGAAGGTGAAGTGGCCTAACCTTAAAATTTAGACCAGCATGCTACTATTACAAGTGAGAACATTGATATTCTTGCTTAGTGCAACAGAAAGTCCCATTCGCATTGATGGTTTAGAACCAGGCAGAAGATAAGGAGAAATAACTAGACCATAATAACTGTTCTGATTTACAAAACCAATCAAGAAATTAGGATGGGACACTTTAGGCTCCAGCAAACTATGCTTAATCTACATTTTTTTGGCACTTCGAAAAAATTGCTTGGTCAACTGATAATTGATATGTAGCTCATAAAAGGTTAGATGAGTTGCTCAGCTAACAAAATAAGGAACTGAATGAACGATCAACTAATAGAACATTGAATATTTTTACAGAAATAAATTGATGGCAAAGAATGTGTTTTGAGAAATAGTTATGGAGGATTCAGTCTAATTGGTGTTAACTAGTGTTAAACAGAGGACACAGCAAAATTAATATCAACCACTGTGAAATTCGGTTACTAGGATTCAACAGAATTATTCAGCTAGCATGAGATTCGGCTAATTTTAGCGGAATACAATATCAGCTGAACTTAGATAAAACCAACACTCCAGTTTACATAATTTGTGGAATGGCATTCCAATATTTCAAGACTTAGATCAGAGCATTGGAACAAAGTAAACCAGGCTCAGAAATAGTATCCTAAAACTACAATATCGGGAAGGAGACAAAGAGGCAAAGAACGATTTAAACGCTTGAGAAGGTATTTATATATGCAGAAAGACAATAAATCAGCAACATCAACGCCAATATCAGAGCAGTCAGAAGCACAACACATTCAACTCTTATTCAAGCATATTCCATATCTTCATAGTCACACCCTACCTCAAAATCTTCAGCTGCGTCCTGATGCTGTTGGTACTGAGAGAGTACACATTCATGCAATCATGTTTCTCCATGCCTCATTATCCAAAACCATGCATGCATTCATTGGCGTTTCACAACAAGCTAGTGAACTCAGAGTGCTGCACTGAAAGGTGCAACTTCAACAACAGTGTTAGATTCCTTAAGGTTGGTAAAATGATGTTACGGAGAAGAGTGACAGTGGAGTGCTTCATCAATGTAACAGTTGAAGACTGGTTGTATGAAAATTCATATTATGCTTTTAATAATTCTAATGTTCAAGTTGTAAGACAACTGACAACTTTTACGACAGTGAACAAGACATTGAAGAAAATAGAGATTAAAGTTTTATAAACTAAATCCATGCTTTCTGGGTACTTGCGGAGCAGAACAGCAGATCAGACCTCAAACTTAGGAGTTAATCTAAAAGTTATTCCAGTAGTTAATCTTGTTGATTGAATCTGTATTATCATGGCCTTGAAAAACATAATTTCTCTTAGTCCACCTTCTTATCTTTCATGTATGATTTTATCCCCAAATTTCAAAGAGGGGAACATAATTTTATTCTATACTCATTGTAACTCCCATCTCTCGTACATATGCTTATAACTTACTTTTACATAAACTTTGCTTGAACAAAATAATCAACACTGTCCCTAATATAAATAAATATACAAAAATTGACATGCTCTTGCAACTACTATTAAATAGGATAGAAGATGAATCTAATATTTGTGTGCGCCTTGGTGCAAGCTTTTGATCAAACCAACAGTATTTAAGTACACAAGGTGTAGTTCAACTACTGAGCTAACACTTGTATTGTCGCTGCCAATACAACTGTTAGCGTGACTAACACATGATAAAAAATCCTGCCAAGTTTTTGACAACAATTCTATTTAATGCATAAAAGAGAATTTTGCGCAAATGAAGAGATGCATCCAAGTTTACCTACAAACTGGAGTCAAATGAAGAGATGCAACATTCTGAAACATTTCTTATAAATGTCTTAGGGTGTGAATAGGATGAAAAGTTAGTTATTTAAATTTGCGTAACTCAACTGATGAACTAAAAAAAGATCCAGCCAAAAATTTGACATCGCAGAAAATACATGCTAACCAGTGGACATAGACATTTCTTCTGTGGTCTTACGATTTGGCTTCTTTGATCTTAAAATTCCTTTGCCTCTAAGGACACAATTAGTTTGAAACTTGCCGTTGATAAAGAAAATAGTCTTTTATACCATATATAAATTTGAATATTCATGTCTCCTTGAATCTAAAAGTCAATACCAAATCCACTTCACATGTAACGTAAAACCATTTAAATGCAGAAGTCTTTGACAGCATGCAGAAAATAAACATTGCAAATTTAATACTGAGTTTACCCATAAACTCGAGTCAAATTTGAAACTTATGTGTATAGATGCATTGCTAACAATTCTCACAACGTAAACCTTATTCATTAAATAGAACCCATTAACATAATATTCATTAAATACAATTTGTTTTCTTACTTCCGTGCCAAAAATTAACTAGCCTTCATTTATAATAACTTCAACAGGTGATTTCTTAGTTTTGATATCCATTAACAAGATTGACATAAAGCTCTCAAATTTTAAAAAATCAAACAAGACAGAAATGGTCTAAAAATTTGATCAATATGTAAATCAAATTAACTTTCATCTTTTATAGTAATTTTATTTTTCACTACATTAAATAGGAAAATTGTATCAGAAGAAAAAAGATTGAAGTTTGAACCACACATAATCAAGGAAATGAAAATAGGCATAACGCCATGATCTACAAATAAACAAAGGACCAATCACTGCCCAAAATCCCACGACAAATCCAAATGCCATACTGACAAAAAACCAGTTCACTCCATGACTATCATTCCCTTTGCCATTGTCATCAAAACTATCAATTCCATTATTGGAGCTGCAATTGATGGCCAGTGGTAGGCCGCAGAGATCGTTGCCAATGAAGTTGGAGGCATCAAAGCTTTGCAATTGAGTTCCTGTTGGAATTTTTCCCTTCAAATGATTATATGACAAGTCTAGCATGCTCAGAAAGCTCAGACTTGACATGGTAAAAGGGATTTCACCAGAAAGTTGATTCCTTGAGAAATCGATGGACAATAATGATCGCATATTGTCAATGCTTCCTGGAATATGACCAATTAGTTGGTTGTGGGATAAGTTCAAAAATATCAGTCCATCTAAATCTGTGATTTGTCTTGGTATTTCTCCTACTAATTGGTTATTTGATAGATCAATGCTTGTTACCAAACCCAAAAAGTTCTTGTACTCGTCTCCTCTTCCTTTCAGCCAAAGGAGCACACTAATTATACGCAATTGCCCATTCAAATATGCATTGTTTACTGTGTCACAATAAATAAGAGGATATGAACTTTTGTTCGTCAAAGTGATGGCATTCAAGCGATTGAAACAAGTTGGAATATTTCCAGACAAATTGTTTTGTGCAAGGTCTAAAATCTGAAGAAGACGCATATCACATATTGTATTAGGAATATGACCAAAAAAATTATTTGATCGAAGGATAAGAACTTTCATATTTGAAGCACTTTCTCCAACCCAAGATGGAATTCTTCCTGAAAATTTATTTTCTCCGAGATCCAAGAAAATCAGTTGAGTGGTCTTCTTCAAAATGGTAGGAAAGGTTCCCGAGAGGGAGTTGTTACGGATGTGTAAAGACTGTAGCTCTGCCAACGAACCCATGGAGGAGGGTAAGTTCCCAACAAAATTGTTGCTTTGTAAATTTACTTCCACTAGATATGGCCAATGCATCCAACAATCAGGTATTTCTCCTGATAAATTATTTGAAGCAAGATTCAGAAATTCCAATCCCATTGGCTTGTCCTGATTTTGACACAAAAAATCAGCCATGGATTTGGAGAATAAATTGTTAGAAAGATCTAACCAACCCACAACATTTGAAAGAGAGGGCAATTTTCCATTTAAGTTATTCGCACTAAGATCGACAACATTGATTGATATTGGATTCGTTAATGTAGTCCAAAGCTCACCATGGATATGATTATAAGAGAGGTTTAGATACTCAGCTTGAGAAAATGTTTTCCAAAACCAGCTGGGAATAGAATCTGAAATCCCTGTGTTAGACATTGATATGGAAAGAAGTTTGTTTTGTGAGTGAATCCATGATGGAAAGTTGGGACCTAACTGCCAGCAGCTCATATCCAAATAGAAAAGCTGAAGAGTAGGATGCCAACTGGGACCCACTTTTAAAGTCAAATTGTTTCCTGATGCATAAAACGACTTCAGGCGGGTAAGATTTGCGAAATGATCTTCCTTGACGACTCCTTGAAAACGATTGTGATCAATGTAAAGATATGACAATTTAGAGAGTGATCCAAGACTTTCAAATGGATTTCCGCTAAATTGATTTTCGGACAGTATAAGAAATGTCAATGATAAAAGTTTTGCCAGTGATCTTGGAAGGTCGCCACCAATTTTGTTGCCATAAAAATCTAGAGTGTCAATATTTTTAAAATCTCCAAGTTTATTTGTCAGATTGCCTGAAAGTTGAGAACTCCGAACTTCAAGTGTTGTGAGTCCATGGGAAATACAAGGAGAAAGAATTTCTAAAATTTCATTAACCTTTTGGTTGAGTTTGAGATTTGAGAAATATATCTCCCTTAAGTTGCACAAATTACCAAAAGAAGTTGGAATTGGTCCATCAAATTGATTGCCTGACAAATGAAGTGTAACCAGAGAAGTCATATTTCCCAAGGCATCAGAAATAGTCCCCTGTAAGTTGTTATATGATAGGTCCAAATACGTGAGATGACGAAAACTACCGTAAAACCAATCTGGTATAGAAGATGAGAATGAATTTCCAGACAAATGAAGATTTTCAAGAAGTGTGAGGTTTCGAATACCATCAGGAATGGAACCTTTGAAGAAGTTATATCTTAAATCAAGAGAAACAAGTTTCTTCAGTCCAAACACCCACTTCGGGACAAAAGAAATTGGAGAAGAAAAGGAAATACCGGAAAGATCAAGAGTGAGGAGAGACGAGGAGTTAAGTAACGATGGTTGATTATAGAGAGGGAGTGTACATAGTGACAAATGAAGGTGCATCAAAGAAGGAAGAGTTTGGAGAATGTGAAAGAAATGGAATGATGGGGATAGATTTGTACCTCCCAAGTCAAGATATTCAAGCTTTGAAAGACTCGATAGCCAATCAATGTTTTCAGCATACAGATCACCACTGAGATCAAGGTAGAGCAAATTGGAGAGATTTGCAATCTGAGAGGGAATTGTTCCATTGGCTACATAACTCAGATCAAGATATACCAAGTTGGAGAGATTCCCAATTTGAGGAGGAATCGGCCCCATGAATCCAGCCGATGAGAGGTCTACGTGAGTTAAGGAGGTCAATGTCCCAAGGAAAGTAGGAATGGGCGTACCTGCTCCAAGTAATTCATTGTTGCTCAAATCAAGATATCGAAGCTTTGAAAGTCTTGATAGCCAGTCAACATTTTCGGAGAACAGAGAATTACTACTGAGGTCAAGATAGAGCAAATTGGAGAGATTCCCAATCTGAGGAGGAATGTTGCCCATGAATCCAGCATCAGAAAGGTTGAGATGAGTCAAGGAAGTCATTGTTGGAAGGAAAGAAGGAATTGGCATACTTTCAAAATCATTGCCGCTCAAGTCCAAGTAATTCAAATGCTTCAAATCAACCAAACAAGGATTTATCTCTCCACCAAATCGAGATCTAGTATACTCTTTGTAAGCTTCTTCGAAAGCTTCTACATGGAATTCATAATCACCTTCGAAATCAGGAAATGAAGTGCGGAGGTGAAGCTCTTTGACGTGGGCAGTGATGTTGCTGCAGAGAACACCAGACCAGTGGCAACAACGGGAAATGGCAGATGCATTCCAAGAAGAGAGCCTATTTGAAGGATCTTTGAGATGACGCTTCAACTTCAACAGTGTCTCTCCCTCACTTTCAACGCATAAGATCTCTCTGCATGCAACCATACGTAACGTTAATAACCAAAGATGAAGAAACAGAATAATGAAAATGGAGGAATTCATGATCACAAAAGCTCTTAATAGGAAACAAAAAGTGCTTCTTGGTAATGCATATAAAACTTCTTTCTAATATTTATACTTAATATACCGCTGCAGTGCCTTTATTTTTTCTTCATTTTCATTAAATTTATAAAATCAAATTCACATGTCAAAATCAGTAACATAAGTTCTATCTTCATATCAACTTAAATGCCCAGGAGCTACGTAATTTATGGTCTATCATAATTTTTCATTTTAAAAGTCTGGGTATAAATAGTTAAATGTAAGAAATAAATAAATGAAGATCATACATTTAAATAAATAATTTTTATTTTAACCAAAATAATTGTTACAATAAATTATATTCATCCATCACTTATAATATTTTTCTTTAAACATGATTTCATGAACTGAAAGCTAAGAATTAACGTTTAAAATTAATATTGAAATAAATTTAAAAATTAACAGTCTTAGCCATTCATCCTCACTCTCACACTCACATGTTCATATTTCATTGTTAGACCAAGCCATTGCCTTTAAAGTTTTTGTCAAAATTTGGTTTATATTTGTCCAAAATATTGTCATTATCATATTGCTTGAAAACAATTATGATTTTGTCTATTTTAATTTGAATTAAAAAGCAAGAAATTGAATTAAAAAACACATAATATTATTTTGTGAATATATGGGCACTTAGTATGTTTATTTGGAAGAAAAAATTTGGGATCATCTTGAAACAATAAATATGCATAAAATTAAGCATAGTGAGCAATAAATATGAAACTAATAACCTATAAAAACTTTAAATGGTTTGTCCTGTCCATTTTATGCAAAGACTTTATCAAGTCGTAGTCGTCCACATTTTATGGGTTAGAAAATTTGGTGACCAATGAAAAGGAAATGCATAAAAATGAAAGAAGACTTCAAACACATTAAATTCTTCAGACTCTTAGTCTTCTCCACTTTATGGGTTAGAAAACTGAAATGAGTAAAAACAAAACTCAAGACTGACTTTTTGTTCTTCCTCATATGTAATCCATTTTATGGGCTAAAGAATTAAATAATGCATAAGCTGTTATTTTATTTTATTCTTAAATTTTATTATTTATCAATCAAATAATCAACATATAAATAAAGAGAAATTAATCTATGAAAATTGGAGACTAATTTCATTTATGAATTGGTTAATATTTGAGTATTTAAATTTATTTAGCATAACCACAAGTTAATATATTTTTATATAAAAAAATAAAATAAAGACTTAAGGTGTTACAATTTCTAAAACAAATGTTATTAATGTATGAATAGTTCAAATAAAGAAAATGTGCATGAATACATCATTTTTTTTAATCTTTCTAATCTTAATAAAAAAGCTGAAAATTTAAGTATAAAATATCACAAAATTAATTTTTAATTATTATTAATTTTAATAAAATATTAATCTTTTCTATTTATATATATAGTTAGAGATAATAATTTATCAGTTTAGAAATATATATATATATATATATATATATAAACATATTTTTATATATTATGAATCTTCAAAATTATATCAATAAAAAACAAAATTCGATTTGATATTATATTTTTAGACGTTTATGTTTTTTTCTTTAAGATTGTTTTATGATTTGATTATATTTATATTAAAATTTTTTTATTAATTTTTTAATTATAAAAATGTACATTTTATTTATAAATATAAAAAATTAAAATTATGAATATAGAATATTATAATATATCTTTTTAATTTAAAAATATTCATTATAAAATATTAAATAATTTTTATAATATCAATAAATTATAATTACAAAAATCACAACATAATCCACACCAATTATACATATTAATTTATTTTCGTTCATATTTGATGTTAAATTAAAACTACATAAAATTAGATTAAATTTAATTTTGATTTTTTAAATTTTTTATATAAACAATTTTATATTTTGTCAAATATGTGGAGTACAGGAGTGAAATGGTGAACACGTGAATAAATTAGGTCATCATTGAAAAGGAAACAAGATTCCAAAAACATTAAATTCTCCATACTTTCTCAAAGACTGACATACAAATAAATGAAATGAGTAAAAACAAAACTCAAAGACTCACTTTTTGTTCTTCCTCTTATGTAATTCATTTTATATTATTTAAATTTTTATTGAATAGTATTTTTAAATAGATAATTTAGTATGGCAAATCATATCAAAATATTTTTAAAATCTCACTCATAATTAAATGGATTATATTTTAAATTATGATGCATTCTTAGACCAATAAAATTAAAAAAACTAGTTAAAATGAAATGTATATTTTTAAAATATAAATTTTATTAATAAAATTAATTTTAATTTAAATATGATAATTATATATATATATATATATATATTAAAATCAAATTACTTTTATTTAAAACAATATTATATTTAATAAAATGAATCAATTTATAAACTTATAAATAAACTTCAACTAAATCTACTTAAATTACAACTAAAAGGATTAGATATATTTAATTTGAATTATAATGTTTATTCAACTTAATTTATTTTTCCGTTTATGTGTACAAAATTTTTATCCGTTAATATATTTATCACTTTTTTTTATATTGTAGTTTGTCTTATATTAAAGTTTGACTTTTAATTAATTTACAGGTTAAACGCATAATTTGTGCAAGTACAAGAATTTTAGTATATATGATTAAATACAATAAGTTTAAAATCTTTATCTGTATAAAAACAGTTTAAATTAAAAAATTGGATTGTGCTAGTAATAAATTCATTAACACCTTGTATAGATGCATTGGATTGTAATGATGACTTCATCATATTTTTTTTTAATTATAAGAAGTTTATTATTGATATTATATTAAAAGTTGTGATTGTATGTGTTGATTTAGATTAATCATGTGTGGAAGAATGAGTGTAGAATGTTAGGATATATTAGTTATATTTGGATTATGTATAACATGCTTTAGAAGGAAATTGTGTAATAAAATCTTAAAGGATTGTGTTTGATGTCTAAAACTAGGTATAGCATCGGGGCGGGACGGGGGCAGGTTTTGCCTCCTCGATTATCGCCCCCGACTTTTTTAACCATCCTTGTCCCTGTTTTTGATCCTTGTCGAGGTTAGAAATTAAGTCTTCATCCTCATCCCAGCTTGAATTTCGAGTTTTCCCGTTCCCAATCTATATTATTTTAAAAAATATAATTACATTTATAATAAATTAATTTTACTATGTATTTTTTATATTTAAATAAATATTTATAATTTTATAATTTATAATTATTATTAATTAAATATATTTTTTAATTTATTATATTTATATTAAAATATGTATGTAAAAGAAATATTTAATTATTTTTTTATTTATATATATAGAATATTTATAATAATAATAATATTATTATTATTATTATTATTATTATTATTATTATTATTATTATATATTCAAATATTTGATTGCATATATAAGTTAATTCATTTTTAAGTTGTTATTTAAAAATATGAAATATATAGTTTATAATAAGTTAATTCTTATTTAATTAGTTCGAAGTAATAAAAGTTTAAATTATCAATTCTTTTTAATCCTTTAAAATACAATTATTTTACTAAGATAAAATTTGATATATGATAAATAAGAATAATAAGATAAAAATATATGGCATAATAAAACCTAATAAATATAAATTATAAATAGAATAATATTAGTTACTACTAAAATTTTTGTAAAATATTTAGAAAAAGATAAAGAAAAAAATTAACTTTGTGTTCATCAAATTGGTTGAAAAGATTAAAAAAAAAAAGTAATGAGAGAGATTAAGAAAATGTGAAAAACTGAAAGGTAAGAGAGAAAATAATGTAATAAATTAATTGATATAAAAGATTAAAAAAGACAAAAAATTAAAAAATGGGTATAAGAAAAATAAAAATGAAGAAATATAAAAAAATGATATTATATGTAATAGAAAAAGGAAAGGAAATCCTTTAAAAATATTAATATTTTAAAATTTAAATATAAAGTCGGGGCGGGATGAGGTCGGGATAGAAATTGCATTACTCATCCCCGTCCCGTCCCGACTTTTTAAAGAAGGGAAAACTCGAACCTACCCCTGCCCCGATCAATTCAAGTTTTCCCTATCAAACTCGTGCGGGACGGATCGGTTCCCACAGGTACAAATTTAATTATCATTCATATCTAAAATATATTTGATGTGTATTTTGCATATATGCTCAAGTGACAACTTGTCACTCAAACATAATGTGCAACAAAGAGAAAGATTCCTCTCGAGAGTATTTTAACTCAAGTGAAAATAATCTCCGATGTGAGAGACTTGTTACAACTTCATTTTATTTAAGTAAAAATATTTCGCTTAAACAAAAATCTCTTAATTGAGTGAGACTTATTTTGTTGTATTTTTGCTTAAGTAAAAAAATATTCGCTTAAGTAAAATGATATCTCGTTCAAGTGAAAATTACCTAAAGAAAAATGTGATTTTTTTTTAGATTTTAACTTGAACGAAAATTTCCTATTAAAAAGCTTAAAAATGATGAAAATAAAAATATAAGATAATTTCTTTAATATATATGATTTTGGAATTTATAAGATTTGTTATAAACATAAAATTAAATGTATTTAGTATTATTATGTGTATATAAAAAATTTTGTTATAATATAAAAAATACCATGAGATATTATTTCATTCATATATATATATATATATATATATATATATATATATATATTATATTTATGATATATTGATGAAAACTAATTCGGTAATTTTCAATAAGAAAATACTATATTGAAATATAAATTCTATTAATATTAGACTCTTTTTAATATATATATATATATATATATATATATATATATATATAAAAGTTTTTTTTCTAAATCTTGGTTAATTAGGATTTTTTTCCAACCGAAAAATATTTAACCCATTTGGGTGTCCTAATAGGGGAAGAAAAGATTGGAGAATGTATGAAGTTATAAGTTCAAACCTCAATCCCATTATCAAAGAAAAATACAAAACTCATATATGATTATGATATAATATTTATCGAGAGTCAAAGTACAAGATATTCTACATTCTACTTGTATCTTCCTAGAGATAACTCTATATGTGTGTGAAAAGGGGGAAAGATTCTAAGAATGAATATGTGTTGACTTGAAGATGGGAAAAATATTCATCAAGATGTTACGGTTTGATTCCCCCAGTAACTCCTCTCCCATGATTCAACTTGTTGAATTGAACTTTCCTTTCTCTGTAATTGTGCGTGCAAAGATGGAGGATCAAAAGGGGGAGGCATGGTGCAAGGGCTGGTGTCTGCAGGACCCTTCACCAACGATTCCATCATAAATTTCTTCTCTAATCCTTCTGCTCCACAAACCATTGACTCCACACATATTTCAGTAGCATTACCATTAATAGAGGGTTTGTACGTAAAAAGTTTAGCATATGCATTTAGGAGATGAAACATGTAGTCGTACACATAATCCATCTTCAACTCCTCTTGAATGAATTCATTTGCTGCCTTACCAATTTGATGTGCCTGACGAATTTCACAAATAAACATTGAGAAGGTGTTCAAATATTCAGTAGTAAACAGTGTTAGACAAAATTGTGTAACCACACATTTCAGTACATAGCACATGGTTTGTGCAATGATGTGAAGATTAAAGTTATTCTAGAGAAAAAGCAAAACTTGAAGATTACCCTTTGCTTGTGACTATTCCCCCAATCCACAGCAAACTTAATGGACCTGCACTTGTCATCTTCCTTTATGGGCCAATAGTGGTGCACTGGAATCAGTCCTCTGGTGAAAAAATCATAGTAATGTGGTTTTACAAGCAGAGTGGTAGAGTCACATGCCAGAATGTATTTTTCACTCACTGACCAAGCAGAACCTTCAATGTACACCTTGTATCTGCACAAATCATCATGGAATTAAAAACAAGAATGTATTATTACACAAAATTATAACTGAAAGAGGAATTAAAAATTGTGTCTTCCATGTTCCATAAAGAGAATGCAAAGTGTGAATGTTATACCTGTGAGTGCATTGGCTTGCCAAGTCTGATTTTTTAAACCCCTCTTGCGATTCTTGTATCCAATTCTGAATTAGAATATTCATTTGTGAAGAAGATGAAGAAAAATATATAATAATATAGACAAAATCTATTTGTTTTCCAAATAATAAATCATTTTCAACAAGTGTAATTAAAGAAAGAAGAGTGATAGATACCTGGGCATATAAACGAGCATTCCAATCTTGTGTTTGAGAAACATTGCATTTCATGAGGTCCTCTCTGGTTTTTGCAACAGAGGGATTACCTTTCCAGTATGCATAAGGCTCTCTCTTCAGCCATGGTATCTTCTTGTTCCCTTCATTCAACTCTCCCAACAAAATCTCCCATGGCTTTATACTAACCTCAGCCCTGCCACCAATATGTCATCAATATTCTAAAATTTCTTTTACTCCCTGTAATTTTAAGTTTATGTTGTAAAAGTTCAAATAAATTAGGCCATCAAGAAAAAAATAGAAGGAAACTTCATTCTACAAATCAATTTTTCTCTTTTTATTCATTAAATAAAAATGCATACATATCATCATTTTTGTTTTCCTTTTTTTCTATTTCCTTTCCTATCTTCAGAATACACCAATAAAAAAGCTCAAGTAACTCTATTTTTAGTTAGATTATATATCTATCAGAAGAACTGTACATCAAGCTAATAACTTTCTTTTTATCTAAAACAAACACATGAAATATATAGATTACATTAATAACTCATCTCCATTAGAAACTAAATGATTATCCTTAATTGAAATTGCTCCTACTACTGTATACACTTACAATGATAAGTTAATGATCAATCAAATGTTTGTAAGTATGATGAATTGATGAAAAACATTTTCTAGTTCCTGAAAATTAGTCTCTTAAAAACATGGTTTAAGGGGCTTACGCTTACCATCCCCAGAAGGACCAATCAGGGAAGACAATGTCCAAGGTAGCATCATTCCCACAATATCGAAACAATGGTGGTGGCTGCTGAGGAACAGCCCCATTATAACGATCAGCTAAGACCACAGGCCAATCCACACAATCAAACATGAGTTCCAAATCAGGCACTTTTCCAGGGTATCTCCTTAACAATTGCAAAATCCCCCATATTGTAAAAACATCCCTTGTTTGGAAGGACTTTTCGTAGGTCTCCAAATAAGCCCTACCCTTCAATATCACCAACTTGAAATTTGCCGTTGCCTTTGCCCTCTCCACCATCTCTTGTGTTATGCCCGTGTGGGCCCATGGTCTCAGGTCCTCATGGATCCAACGGAAGTATTCAGGACACGTGGCACTGGATGGACGGCTCTGATCCTCCTCTGGGTTTGGGCTTTCATTGCTGGGGCATGTTCCTGTGAGGTTGTACGCACTGCAGTTCAATGGGATCTCTTTCTGCACCTTAGAAGGGTTTATGAAAGGACGTGTGGTACTTGATGCGGATTTTGTAGATGGAATTCCAGAATATATAGGCTACACATAAAACACAAAGTGAATCACTACAAAGAATTACTACATGTTTTAGTATAACAATTCTTGGAAGAATAAGTGATAGCACAGTTTCAAACACATTTTACTAGTAATTAAAATAAAATTTATATATAAATTATGAAACTTACGCAGAATCCAATAGTAAAGTACTAATTATATATAACATTGGAAATAGTCAAACAAACCACAAAATAATAACAACGATGTATTATCCACGTACCTTGAGAATTGAACTAGGAAAACGTATTCTTCACGTACCTTGAGAGTTGAACTAGGGTTAATGACTTACTTAAAAGCTACGAATTGGTTAAAAAAAGGTTAGAAAAGTGAGAACAAGACAAGGCTTCTGTTAAAAAAGCATAATTTAATAACGTAGGATACAACAGTGACAAAGTTATGGATCCAAGGTATTTTACGTGCATGAAACAGGTGGGGGAAAATTACAAGGCACGTGATCCCTTAAAGTCAATAATTGGTCCCCTCTTATGGGTTTGTCATAAAGGTTTAAGGAGACGTGGTCCCTAAAGAGTAAGATTTCTTACGACTCACGATCTTCGGGATTTCTCTCTGTCTGGTTAACCGACACTCGCGGCGTTTGTTTTGGTTAGGCCATGGAAATTGAAATTTCTAGCAAAACCACTAATGATTTCAAGGGAAAATTTAGCACACTTTGATTATATTTTTTATGCATATAAATTTATTATTAAAATAAAAAACATTGTGTTGTGGATATCATATATTTTATTTGAGAGATCTTTCTCATGCTGCGTGAGTCGGTGAGAATCCAAAATGTTGCAGAAATTAAATTAATGAAGTTTCGTTTTTAGAAAGTCAGTCAAATTGTTTGGTCGAGTTAGATAGTGTACCCCTAACTATATATATATAAGCTACCATGAGGGTTTGTATCTTTTTGTTTTTATGTTTCTCACTTAATTTTAGACTTTGGTTCCAAGGGTTAAACCTACCACATCTATATCATACTTTCCAATAAGCTACACCTAAACAGCTTCTTCCTCTTTCGTATACCCTTATATAATCAAACACATTCAACTATTTTTTTTTTCCTTGTTACAACTTTTTCCTTGTTCGTTAAATAAAAAACTCCAGTTCTTTTTATCAACAACTTAGAAAAACTTTGTAATGATCAAATTTTGATAACCATAATCTTATTAACACTACCCTATTGGAATTTCACTATGTTTTTCTGAATAAACCTAGATGTACACACATGTATGCATGAAGGTTAAATAATTGTTCTTTTATTGCAAAGGATTTGTTAGTGAGTAAAAGACTAAGCGCAGACACGACAGTGTCGTTTCATCGTTTGTTCAACCATGCATGCCACGGGCCAAGAGAATTCAGCCACCATTCCTAAGAAATTCCACAACGTGTCTTTGTTTCAGAGAACGGTAACGTAAGAAACAAACGAGTAGCATCCACTAACGTTAAAAATAGCAAACACATTGAGCCAATCAACATTGTAGGTAAGAGGATAACAATAACAGTAATAATTACGATGAATACTCACTTGTGTGTCGATTACGTGAGTGTAAGCCAACGCGCCAATGATGAGCACGACGGGGAAGATGAGAACCGCCGTGGATCGCGGCAGCGACTTTAAGACCGGCCACCAGATTCCGTCTTTATTGGAATGACGAAAATGTGCCGATCCACTATCCTCTTGCATAGTTATGATTGTAATTTCGTTGTTCTCTCTTATTCTCTGTTTCTTTGACTCTGTTCGTGTTTTTGTGTTACTCCACCCTTACCCTTTTGAAGTTTTGAGCTTCTTCTGAATGGAAAGTTTCAAAGCTGAAAGGTTTGAAATGGGTCTTCAATTGGGTTGATGAGTTTTGCCCAATTGAATGTGTATTTATCTTGCAGAAGTTCAAAACCAATATATATATACCTTTTTTTTTGCTGTGAAGAAGAAGAAAAGAGAAAATTGAGTTAGTTCATGATATACTCAGAAATATTATACACCATGTGTAACTGTTGTTTGGAAACTGGTTGAAAAGCCATAAACCACGTTAAATTTGTTGTAAAACGTAAATTTATAACTACTTTTTGAATAAACTAAGATAAATCACATGAAACTATGCTTCAAAACGTGAAACTTGTAGCTACTATTTGTGTTCTATAAAAAAAATGACATCTAGAACAAATTACATGTGAGGTGTGCAACAAAACACAGATCATGAGAACCGACACAAAGAGAAACATAACAAACCTGGAACTTTTCTTGTGTTGTACAGATTGGAGTTGAGAAGATGCGAATCTAAAAAGATGTTTAGCTTTATCACTTAAATGAGGGCTTTGTAGATCAAAGATTCAGAAGTGAGGAAAACATATAAAAAGGAAAGTTAACATTGGAGAGAGAAGAGTGAGTGTGAATTGAACATGAAAAGGAAGAAAGCTACTGAAGAATGAATCTCGTGAGTACACAGCTGTCTGAGTTTGTCTCAGTGATTGTTATATATAGTACTATGAATGTTATGGGAAATGAAATGGGACAAATTAAGAAAAAGGGTCCCTGTGCATAACTTTCTTTGATGGCTACAATTTGGGAAAAAAAAAAATGCACATGTTGCAGTGTATACTTTTGCTGGTTTTGGGAAGATCTAGTTAATGCTATTTTTTTACCTTTATCTGTTGTTCCCTTCTAGAGAGAGAGAGAGATCATATATGTTAAAGAGTTTTTTTAATTCTTGGAAGTGATCAAATTCTTTCAGTGTTGAACTCATATTTATCATTTAGAGAGTGGGGCCTCATGTTTACCTGTAATTAACTACTAATGTGAAATCAAAAGTAAAAAAAGAAAAATGTCCACCAATTATCAAAATTATCTGGTAATGTACAGCATTTTTTAGGAACTATTTTTTCCATAATATTTTATGATCGTAGATGTCCAATGAGTTTTGACATAGAGAACCTTTTTTTCTTTCATTCATTTAATTAATAGTTAATTTGTCTGAGTATTATTCATGGGATTTTAATTGGTAAGAAGATTTATTGTGTTTTCCTTTTATTAGTGTACCAATATGTGCCTTACCATATTTGCAGAAGATTAATCAAGTATAACATCACAGTTAAAAGTAGAAACCAAATTAAGAAATTTATTTTTTTGTATTTTTTTTTAAATTAAATTGTTTTCTTAAACTTTTTTTATCATAATAGTCTTTTTCTTGTCTTAATATTTATTTTTTTATATATAATAACTACAGTCTTAATATTTTTGTTCATTATTTTAAATTTGTTTAGAAATAATATTCTAATATTAGTAGGTACCAAAAGTCATAATTTTTCATATAATTTTGTGATAATTTGATTATATATCAAAGTGTTTAAATGGATCAGATGGTGATGTCTAATAACGATAACATATGCATGACAAATAACAATATCTTAAATAAATTTGATCAGGATATATGTGTGACCGAACATTGTAACTACTGAAACGTTTGGTCTCTATCCAACCTTTGTTTAGTCTTTATCTGACCTTAGAGTAATATGACCTAAACAATTCATTATAATATTACAACATTTCTTAAAAACTGAAGTGAATATTTAAAATTACAGATATGGAAAGTTAGTCGGTGATGGTAGGGATGGGTGTAAAGGATTTGAATTCTTCTCTCTTTCTTTGGAATTAGGAAGAGGAGAAATAGAAGTTGTCAAGATTCACAAAGTTCATTTTTGCATTGGAAGTAAATCTATTCTTTTTTATGTAACATTTACATTGGGTTGCTAACTTCATATTACAATTTACTATAAACTTAATTTTCTAAAAAAATAAGTTTGACTTATAAATTAATTTATTCATAACATTGATTTATAATAATAATAATAATAATAATAATAATAATAATAATAATAATAATAATAATAATAATAATAAATGGGTGAATATTTAAAAATATAAAAAAAAAACTAAAATATTAGATAATATTAAACCTCTAATATATTTAGTTTGTCATTGTATCATAAAAAAACTTCTTTCTCCTATCTATGTGTATAGCAGAAATATTAATTTTTTTTTTGTTTTTTACATATTAATAGAGATTGAAAATTTTCTAAATCATTATAAAATCTTTATTTATCTACGCCTATAACTTAAAATAAAGAAGAGATGTAGTTATATGATGGGTTTAACACTAATACAAATAATCAACATACTATTGTTAAAAAAATTTATAACAATGCTTTTTAATAATAACAATTATTATTATAGTCATTATAAAAATTAATAAATTACTAATGATTTTAAATTGTTGTCATAAGACAATGATAATATTTAGAATTATTTTATGTCAAAACTCTTTTTTTTTTCACAACAAAGATAAGATCAACGACACATTTAAAAATTTTGTCATGATAAAATTACTTTGTTCCTCCGTAATGGAAGTTTTTATATCTTTATCGTTTCGTTGCAATAAATTTAGAAATTTTTATTATTTTTTTAATATGATTTTTCTTATTTAGTTTTAACATATTCAACAAAATATTATTCTTTATCTTAGTAAAACATTTTCTTTTATTATTGTCTTTCATTATTGTTTTTTCTTGTGACAATTGTGAATTTGTCTGAGACATTTGTGGTAGAGCAAAACACTTTAAGAAGGAAAAAAAATAAGAACATAAGAAAAATAGGAGAATTGCAACATAGGAGGAGAGAAGAAAAAAAAAATGAAAGAATGAGAAAAAAAAGTGGGAGCAAAATGAAATAAACAAAAAGACCAAAATTTAAAATTTTAACAACATATATAAAAATAATTTTATAAATAATTATGGTCGTATGTCCTATATAATGACTTTATATATAACAACATAATCATCATTAAAAATTTAAACATTAATATTTATAAATATAATTATCAATGTATATTAGTGTTTTGTACCTATACAACTTATAATGGTTATTATAAAATATAGCAATGATTTGATGATTATAATAAAATTGTTGTTAAAAAATAAAAAGAAAATCACTACAAGAAAAACGCTATTAGCGATCGAAAAAATCGGTTGCTAATGGCCAAAAATCGGTCGCTATTCTCGTTAGCGATCGAAATTAGCGACCGAAATGGTTGGTCGCAAAAGGGCAAGTCGCTAATTTGTTAGCGACCGATGAGGTGGTCGCTAAATTTGGTCGCTAAATAATTTGGTCACTTATTCATTGAAGACCAAAATAGCGACTCGAAAATAATATAATAAATCGGTCGCTAAATCTGTGGTAAAGTTTTAAAAAATAGCGATCGATATATTCGGTCGCTAATATATTAATATAATTATTTAAATAATAATTAAAATCGGTCGCTAAATTTGAATTGTATATTATAATAAATTTGTAGCGACCAAAAATTCGATCGCTAATCTGAAAATTTTCGTTTAAAATTTTGTATATCCAATTTGACAAAATTTGTACCGCTTAATTCATCCAAACATAACACAAATGAAAACTTAAGAACTAAAGTCAAATTATTCAAATCATAAAATTTGTACCTGCTTAATTCATCCAAACATAACACAAATGAAAACTTAAGAACTAAAGTCAAATTTTGTATATCCAATTTTACAAAATTTGTACCGCTTAATTCATCCAAACATAACACAAATGAAACTTAAGAACTTAACAACTACTCAAGATTCAAAGTCTTAATATCATAAAATTGAAAATTAGTCCTCTGGTATATTGTCGGTGTCATGTTGACTTGTAGTAGGAATTTTATGAAGGAAGCCAAGATCTATTAATTATTCTATTATAATAATAATCCTAATTAATAATTGAAGGTCATTCTTTGAGGAAGCCAAGATCTGCTCTGATTCTGGATCAATGAAGGTGTGACTCGAAACCGCTCAGCCTCCTTCATTCTTCAATTCTCCGGCCCATTTCACTCTTTGGGATGGACGAAACCCGGTTCAGAACACCTGCACTCTTATCAAATTACTCCAAACTTGTTCAACTCAATAAACAACAATTTTATACACTTTAGACCCTCTTTCACTTTGATGTTTTTATGAAATTATCAACAATTTTGTCTGTCAGATCCATTGATTTAATGAGTATAAGAAGGCCTTGGTGATGATAACAATACTACAGAATGGAGTTAGAAATGATTGCCTGTATTCATAGAAGCAAGAAGTTCTTTCATTCTCAACTTTGCCCCAATTATTCCACCCTGCAGGCTTTATACATTGATCCATGAAAGTGAATGCAAAAACCACTCTTGCAAAAGGTCTCCATGGTCTTCCCAGATATGCATATGAAGTTCCCCCATTACCTGTGACAACACATCTGCAATGACACCACAAACAAAACATCATGTAAGGAACCAAAATGTTCACAACATAATAAAAGTACTTTACTTGTGTAGTATCCTTTCTTGGACTCGGAAGTTTAACAGATTAACACACCAAAGAAACACTGTAAAGGGAGAGGAGCAAAATATTGACAAGGAAGCATAGAGTAGTATGAGATTCAAAGATTTTTATTCTAAGATTTCTTACAGGATTCTTGAATTCATTGAATTTTCAAGGGATCATTCCTAAATTCAACCTAGGTACTTACTTGATTTCACATCAGAAGAACTAAGAGAGAACATATTTTGCCTTGGAATTGGAAAACAAAGTAAGAGTCACTAACACTGTTGTATTGTAGGGGAAACAAGATGATTGGGAAATGTCTCTTTC